AATTGTTTGTACTCCAAACAATAATAATTTTTTAATAATTTAAATTCTTTCTGCTAAATTTTAAGAAAAAAACTTAACCTAAAAATTAGTTTTTTTTTTTCTCCTTTGGTGATGTTTCATACAAGATACCGCCTTCTTCAAAATCCATTTCAATAATCAAACCCTAGACATCTCCTGAGGAAATATGCTGGCATTTGCCACAATTGTTATGCCTTCGTGATTTTGATTCTATATTTTTTGAACTAGAAAATTAACTTGAAACCTCATAATTTTTCTGTACCAACAAATATATATATCTCCTGAGGGAATAGACAAGCCCGTGTTAATTTCTAATTTCCCAACCGTCCTTTTGAATTTTGGACAAATTAAAATGGGGTTTTAACAAATATCCATATTTGATCTCCCTTTCCTCTTCAACCCCTCGCCTCTACAGATTTCTTCCAGACCGAACAGTTCATCCCTTCTTTGACTCAGTTACTTTTCTTTCCTTTCTTCCATTTCGTGAATGTCTTAGAATTCCTTCTCTTTATTGATTGATTAAAGAAAAGCAGCAAGAATGTAGGTTATAGGACACGGAATGGTCCTTGTGAATTTTTTTCCCTTTAATAAATTCATGTGCAGGAATGTATAGGGCATTAACAAATAAGTGTTTAGTGTTTTTTTTTTTTTTTTTGAATATATGTTGGTTTGTTTGCTTCTCCCATATAAGCAGATATCATGGTGGTTAAGGTTTTGCTTTTTTCATCTTTTTTCATTCTTTCTTTCTTTTTAATGAAATTTTGACGATTATTTGCTCTTCAAGAAATGAAAAGGGAGAAAAAGAAAGAAAGAAAGAAAAGGATAGCAAGCTTTTGCAACCCATTGAATTGACGGGATTGGGAAAGTTAAAATAAGATACTTTTTTTTGTTAAATTTAATAAATAGTCTATTAATTATATGGTTTATTTTAGTTTAATTTAGAAACAATTTTTTTTGTAAATGATCTACAAACTATTAATTTTGTTTTAAAATGATTTACTTAACAAACATTCCGTTAACTGACTAATGGAATTCTTTTTAGTTGTTGACAAGTTGCTTTTAAACTTTTGAAAAATATTAAATTTAGTATATATATTTTT